GTAGTTCAAAAAATATTTTCTCTTAATTAATACATTATTTTTTTGTTTCAAAACAAAATTGAATTTATAAACTTTTTTTTTTGATTGGATAAAACTTTGTTTGGTTTGAAAAAATTGGGCGCTCAGTGTACGTCACTTAGTGGATCCTACTAAGCTAAAGTGAAAAGCTAGCGTACTTTTGCAAATTTTTGTGATTATTTATTGCTATTTTTATTAATTTATTCTAGATGAAATCCATACTGAAACCATGTAGGAAGTGCTAAGAATGGGTATGCAAAATTTCAGCACGATCGGTTGTGTAGTTTTTGTGGTTAGAGATAACAACAGTTTTTGCGACTTTACTTTACATATTAGTAGAATATTATCATCAGACTCATCAACCCTTTTATAAGTTCCATGATTTATGCTATAGTAAGTATTTAGTTTTCTTGGTAAATAATTAAGAATTTTGTTGGATGAAAATTAAGTGTATTCATTATGGGAAGTAAAAATAACATTATGTTTTGAACGATTTATAAACTCAAAAAAAATTGTCAAGCATATGTTATCAGTTTTCCTTGTTTTATCAATTTTTAATGATTTTTTTTTTTCTCTGATTTGTAAGAGTATTTATAGTAATTCTGGGTCACAACTGCAAGTATTAATACCTTATTTTTTTGTATTAAAATATGACCAAAAAACGATGATTAAATACTTCCGGATATAATTCCACTTTTACTCTTTTTCAAAGCTGTCAGAATTTGACGGAGATCTTTCCAAAAATTATTAATTTGTTTTTAAAATGTATGTATGTACAACATGAATCACGCAGAAATCTATCTATTGACCATTTCGAATGCTTTTTTGGGATCAGTAAAGCTGTCTCCCAAATTATTTCTCTACTTATTTTTTTTTCTTTCCAATTTTGATTTGTTAACATTTTTTAACTTAAATGGTAAACAAAAAGTTCTGTGCCTAATCATTTTTTAGAAAGTATTATTGACGCAATACGAGTCCATGCCATCAATAACATTTATTTAACAAAAGAAAAAATCTATTTATTGAGGTTTTGTATAATAATGTTTTTCCTGAACCAAAAGGACCATAAATAAAGATAAATCTGTTATCTTATTTAGATATTATTCGAAAAATTTTATTTGATCTGGATTTGTCTTATCGTCGATACATTAAAACATTTTTGTTTGGAATGTATTTTCCGTAAGATTATCATTTTCCTCTGATTGAATATTTACAGCAATCAGTAAACTAAATGATTAACAAGATTTATCTTCCGATTCCAAAATTTGATTTTTGTTTTAGATGCATGATTATGCTTTTCATTATTAAATTCATTACTAAAAGGTTCTCCATAGTTTTCTAAAATTTTATCATCTTGTATATTCTTCGAAGTTAGAAACTAAGCTATGATTTCTAAAACTGATATAGTAACATGGCAATACTAGCTTTTTCACATACATCATTAATTTGTGAATTGTACTTGATTGATCCCATTGCTTAGAAATTAAATTGAAAATTCAATTCATTGGTCTTTTGATTTTTCTGTGGGGGTTAGCGTGTGAAGCGCGTAGAGGGGCGAAGCCTAACGAGTATATATACATATATATAGCGTCGCCGAGTTTGCGTATTTTAGCATATCGTTCCTTCTAGCCTGCGCCGTCACCTGAGATGGACGTTACGTCTTTTGTACTTGCTCATTAAATAAAAGTTTTGTTAACCGTTGTCGAGAGTATCCTTTCTCGACCCAGTGCTCCTCCTCCCGTACCTGGACACGGAGGCACCTTGTTACTACCAGATCCTCACCCTCGCTTTATTCCCCATATACATATATATTCCGGGAGGAGGAGAACTGGGTTAAGAAAGGATACTCTCGACAACGGTTAACAAAACTTTTATTTAATGAACAAGTACAAAAGGCGTAACGTCCGTCTCAGGCAACGGCGCAGGCTGGAAGGAACGATATGCTAAAATGCGTGAACTCGGCGCAGCTGCTGCTTGCTCTGTCTCTTTTCTTCTCCCGCAGCTGAGGTGACGAATGGTACTGTTCGCCTTGACAGGGCCTTGAGCAGTAGAGATATCGAAAAGCCAGAGTTAACTAAAAAATGCATGCGTAAGCGAGAATAGAATATATGCAGGCGAGTGTCGGAACCCGTTTGGGCCTCTGTTGCCTGGACCAGAGGTGGGCCTATTGATTTCCCTGTGCTGGAGGGATGAAGTTGCACGGAGTGGTGCAGCGCTCTGCTTTGGCACCAAACCTCCGGTGGTACCAGCAAACACCTGGGATGGCTGGGGTGGCTGAGCGGCCTCGACGATTGCCAGATGTCGAGCGATCACGGTTGCGGTCCCGCTGTTGGCCTGGGGCAGGTGGTGCATGGGCTTGTTGAGTTGTCAGCTGGGCAACAGCTGCTCTAATGATATTGGGCGGGGTGTGAGATGCCTTGGAGATACCCATGATAGTGCCTCCAGTTTCCACGAGCTTGTCAGCTGCCTCAGCAAGTTCATCCATTGATGCTGTCTTGAGAATGCTCAAAAGCATGGCGGTGGCTTGAGGGAGCGAGTCTAGCCACTTGACTTTTAGGACCTCGTCGGTACTTTATTACCCGCGAGGTTTTTCATTTTTTGCCATCGTGCTGAAGGTTTGTAATCGCCAAGAGAAATACCTGAGAGTAATTGCCGGAGCATCTTTTCAGCAGAGTCCATGGTGCGTGATAAAATGGCGTCTTTGAGTGTCTTGTACTTCTGATCGGCTGGTGGAGGGTCAATAATGTCCATAACCTCCGTAGCTGTCGTCTGGTCAAGCGCGCCAACAAGAAGATTGAATTTTGCGTTGTCGTCTGTGACGTTGCTTGAAGCCATCAAACACTCTGCCTGTGTGAACTATGGCCTTGGAGCATTACGCCAAAAATGCGGCAGGTCCCATTTTGTTAACATGCTTTCTTCTGGCGTTGTGTTGTTGTTGCTTGGGCGCATTTTTTACTCGTCGTTCGGGTCGTCAAAATCGGAGGACGAGTTACTGCCGTGCGAAATGTTAGGTGCGGGTGGCGGCGGTTTGTTATTTTCGGAGAGCGAGAGCCGTGTTGCCTCGGGCAGCGAGAGCGAAGACAAAAATGTCGGTGGCTTGCCGACAGCGGGGGCGGTTGCTGCCTTGTTGAGCGAACTCGTGGCGTTAAAAATTACAGCACTATCCTCGCAGGAAGTACCGAGAATACCTTGAAGTCGCAGCGAGGTTTTCGTTTGTGTGTCCCCACTGGTACTTGGACGGCCGCGTCCTTTTGAGGCAGGTACGTCTTTCATGCCAGGCCCAAGATGGCCGCCTTTTTCGATGACATGTGCCTGCCTCGTGTTGAGCCGTCTTGTACACTGTTCACGCACTCACTTAAATTTTTCGCCTAATTTCACTTGCTCGGGGTCACCACTATGGGGAATGAAGCGAGGGTGAGGCTCTGGTAGTAACAAGGTGCCTCCGTGTCCAGGTACGGGAGGAGGAACACTGGGTCGAGAAAGGATACTCTCGACAACGGTTAACAAAACTTTTATTTTATCAACAAGTACAAAAGAAGTAACGTCCGTCTCAGGTGACGGCGCAGGCTAGAAGGAACAATATGCTAAAATGTGTAAACTCAGCGCCGCTGCTGCTTACGTCTCTTTTCTTCTCCCGCAGCTTAGGCGATGAATGATAAGGTTGGCTCGGCTTATGCTGCTTTGCAGTTAGAAGAAGACACGAGATATCAGCAGCTGCTTGCGCCTTGAGTGTACAGCTTGTACACATTGCTGAGTTGCCACATATATACTGCTCCCCCTGCGTGCTTCACGTGGTGACTCCCACACTTGTTTGTTATTCCATGCTTTTTCAGATTATAAAAAATCTATTAACATGGAAAATGTATTTGTGCAATATGAGACAGCATAATTTACTGCCTCAATTACCTACACTGCATTCATGTAACAGCAATATCGTATCACTTTTTTCTACGCGATAACAATTTTGTTATTGAAACTTTCCGAAGCCTTATTTTTACTAACAAAGTCGATAATAGGTGCACTAGCTGATAGTGCTTCTAATATCAATGCCCTCAATTACCAATACTTAGCAGCGTCTCTTACCTCAATTTCTCTTTCAATAAGTTTTTGTTTCGATTTATTTTTGATATGACAGATCGAAGAACGTATCATTTACTTTAAGGAAAATGTACTATTTGAAAATTATTCAAGCAACGGAGTTCCGTTGTGCATGCGAGAGAGTGCGGACGTGTCGAGAGAGCGCTCCGTAGGAAAGGGTAATTAAAAAGTAATTAAAGTAAAAATAAAAGAAATAAAAGTACGAGGAAGTGTAAAAAGTGAAGAAGCAGCAGAGAAAAAAGTGTAAAGTAAATAATTATGAAAGTTTAAAAGGATGAAGTGAGATTAGTGTGGTAGTGTCAGGGTAAAGAGAACACGTGTAAGGCAAGTAAGGAGTGGGTAGTTTAGCATATCGTTCCTTCTAGCCTGCGCCGTCACCTGAGATGGACGTTACGTCTTTTGTACTTGCTCATTAAATAAAAGTTTTGNAAAAGTGTAAAGTTAATAATTATGAAAGTTTAAAAGGATGAAGTGAGATTAGTGTGGTAGTGTCAGGGTAAAGAGAACACGTGTAAGGCAAGTAAGGAGTGGGTAGTAAGAATAGGGGATAGTAAAGAAAGGTATTAATGAGCGGAAAACGAGAGACAAGAGGACAGGAAAACAGTGTTAAAGTGGTGATAGTGAAAGAAAAAGTGCAGTGAAGTTTGAAAGAAAGTGAGGTTAAAAAAGATATTACAGGAAGAAAGAAGCGGCAATTGGAGAAAGAGGTCGATAAAAGGGGTAATCTGAGAGGTAGATAAGGAATGTCCCTGAAAAAAAAGAAAAAAATTGAGGTCAGTAAGGAAGGTCACTACTTTGTCGAGTAAGGCCGGCAAATAGAGTTTCTGACTAATGGAAGTGTGTGTCGTTAAAGTAGAAAACTACATTATCGGCAAAATTTAAAGATGGCCGGAAAGCCGCCTGCAGCAAGTATGAATACAAGAAATAATACAAATACAAAACTAAAGGAACAGACTCTATTGAATTTTACAAAAGAAAATCAGGAGAATAAAGAATTAAACGATAAGATGAGCAGGTTGAAAAGGAAGTTGGACAGCATGATTAGTAGTCTAGAAAGAAGAGAAGAAGATTGGAAAGAGAAAAAACAGATGTGGATAAAAGAAAGGCAACAGTGGACAGAAGAAAAGAAGGCGATAGAAGAAAGAATAAGCAAGTTGGAATGGGAAACAGAAAAAGCTGAGAGAGAGAAAAGGAGACCGAACATTGTTATAAAAGGAGCAAATATTGAAGGAGAGAATCTGGAGAAGAAGGTCGAAGAATATATTGAACAAAAGATAAAAATAAAAGTTAAGATAGAGAAGGCTAAAGTGATAAGTGTAAACGCTGGTCAAAATGTGAGGAAATTGGTGGTAGTAAGGCTGGCAAGTAAAGAAATGAAAGAAGAAGTAATGAGAAATAAAAAACATCTGGAAAGAGGAGTTTACATAGAAAGCGATCTAACAGAGAGAGAAAGAGAGATCCAAAGATTTATTTTAAACAAGTCAAAAGAGCAGAGGAACGAAGGAAAAAATACAAAAGTTGGATATATGAAGATTTTGATCGATGGTAAATGGCTTAGATTTGATGAAAGGAAAGGAGATTTTACAGAGGAAAGAAGAAGGAGCCAAGAATGAAGAGAACAAGAAGATGTAGAGAAGGAGGGAGTGAGAAGAAGAAATGTTAGTGTTTGTGCGTGGTACATTGCGGGAGTGCTAAATAAGGACAGTGAAGTGTGGAAGTATTTAAGTGAATTTGATGTGATAATGTTAGTAGAGACATGGTTGGAAAAGGACAAGTGGACTAATGTAGAAAGTGAGTTGCCAAAAAGTTATGAGTGGAAGTGTATAGCAGCGACTAGAGAGCATAAAAAAGGTAGAGCGAAAGGAGGAGTAATATTAGGAATAAGCAAAAAACTGGAGAGTAGAAATCATGAAGTATGGAGCGATAATATAGTAATGCAGGAGATTAAACACAAAAATCAGAACTGGAAGATCATAGGAGTATATAGTCAAAATGTAGCAGAGACGATGGGAATTATAAAGGAAAAAGTAAAAACGAAGGAAAGTGGATGCGTACTTATACTAGGAGACTGGAATGCAAGAACTGGGAGAGAAGGAGGTTGGATTAATGAAAGTGATAGTGAGAGTGATAGTGACGACAAGGACGTAAGGTTAAGAAAGTCGAAAGACGAAAAGATCAATGAAGAAGGTAGAAGACTAATAAAAGAAATAACAGAAGAAGGATGGTGTATAGTAAATGGGCAAAAAGG